GCATTTTGATCATATGCTATCTTAACTAGACTAAAGAACGTTTGATTCTGTGAAAATTATTCTTTTTTTTAGTAATTTAGCATAAAAGTATCCTTCATATTTCAGACGTTCATCTGGCCAAAGTGCAAGAATTGCCTCCAAACTGGTCTTAATTTTCATTTTTCTAGTAGAAATCCTCATTTTGTTGGATTGGATAGGCTGAAATAGATACTTATTTGGCTCTTGAGTACACGCAAAGTGAGCCAAGCATGCTCCCATGCTTGACTGCCCAGGTATGATAGTTGGATGTGATTTCAGAAGAAAATTTAGTGGCTCTACTTTGCACTGCTCATCAAAATATAAGTGAAAAAATTAATGAAACCTAGTCAATTCGCATTGCCTCCAATACCTCATTAGAGCAGCAATGGACAAATTATACACGGAATGGCATACATTTAAAAAGATCAATAATTTACACTTTAGATTGGTTTTGCAAGGTCCGGTGCGCAGGTTAATTATGGAAGGAGAGGAAACGCCAAATGATCCTCATGACATACTTGGAACAGTGCAAAAGGGAAATGTTGAGGACCTGAAAAATTTATACTCCAAATTGCCGGAAATATTCAGCCGTTCCAACGATAATGGGGACTTTATTGCACACATGGCCGCCAAACATGGACGCAGTGATATTCTACAGTGGTTGAATTCCATCAAGTGCAAATTTAATGACGAATTTAATACGGCTGGCTTCCTTCCTATTCATGTGGCTGTACTTCACGGGAACTTGGATTGTGTCTTGGCTCTAAAAATGGGTGGAGCGAATATGGACGCAATCTCAGAGTCTGATGAGCTTACTCCTCTACATTTAGCCTGCCGTAATGGAAATGTCTCTATAATAAACGTTTTGGCGAATGCAAATGCCAACCTTTTGGCAAAAGATGCATATGGTAACAAACCAATTGACATCGCAGTCAATTATGGACAGGCAAAGGCGGCAGAAATCTTAGCCAAAAAGATGGGAATCGCTACGCCTGAAGTTGTTGCACTGGACAATGATCCAACCTGCAAGAGGATAACTGAAGAGCAAAAAAAGCAAAACTTGAAAAAATTGAAACAAAGGATTCGCGACACGTCAACGGAGGGCACCTAAAATTA